CTCCCTCCGTCCCCCCTTTCCTCCTCCTCCTCTTTTTTAGAACAGCAATCGGAGATGGATGTCTCTCTTTGCCCTACCAAGTGCACTTTCTGGAGGGTATTTTTGCTCTGGAGCATTTGGGGAGACTATCTGCTTTCGGTGCTGGCTTGCCCTGCTAATTGTCTTTGCAGCAAGACAGACATCAATTGCAAGAAACCGGATGATGGGAACCTCTTCCCTCTCTTGGAAGGGCAGGATTCAGGCAGCAGCAATGGCAACACGAGCATCAATATCACGGACATCTCAAGGAACATCACTTCCATGTAAGTGGGCTGCTCTCCCGTGTGCCGGGCTCCGCTGCCCTCAGCGCTGTGCCATCGCTCGCCCCGTGCCAGCCCCGCTCTCCCTGCGGAGGACAACGATCGGGTTTTTCCCCTTATCCCATCGGGGAAAAAAAAAAAAAAAAAAACCCACCAAAAAAAATATATCGCAAACCAAGCCCAGCAACAGTTTGGCCAAGGCTTAAAAGGAATGAAGTAAATGGGATTTGATTCCTTAGCGGGAGAGAACAGCAGGCGAAGATGCTAAAGCTGCTGCTTCCTTTAACTGTTTGCTTCTGCGGAGGGAGGGGGGAGAGCGGCACGGCAGAGCCACACACCGCCACACATACCCAAATCGGGCAAGGAAAGCGCGTTCGGAGCCGTTTGCTCTTTTTTTTCCCCCCAGACTTTGGATCTAATTAGCGTGTCACTTCTTCACCCACCGCAGCAACGCTGCCTTTCGTGGCCAGGCTGCGCGTGGCTGTGGAATCTGTGCTTTCGCCTTATTAAGGCTTGGGGTTGGAGAGGGGAGGGGGGAGGAGGAGGGGGAAAGAGAAGCAGAACGGTGCACAGCATCCCTGGGTACCGAACCGCATCCCTGGGTACCGAAGTCCCGTCGCTGTCGCCCTGCAGCTGCGGTGCTGCGAGGGGCTTCGTGCGGGGGGGAGCGCTGGGAGCAGCGCTGGGGCACTTCGCGTTTGTTTGCGCGTTGTTTATCTGGAAAATCAACTCCAAGTAGCGAAGCCCACGTTATTCCCGTCTGAAAGGAACGGATCTCCTCCCGAATCCATCACGCCGTGCCTCCCTGTGTGCGTGGATAAAAAAAAAAAAAAAAAAAAAAAGCCAACCAAAAAAAAAACTAAACCAGCAAACCCATCCCCATCGCTTCCAATCTCCGTATTTTGCAGTACATTTTTTTTTGGGCGAGATGAACTCCGAGCCGTTTCATTATTCTTATGCTAATTGAAATGTGAGCATTTAGGGAAACGCAGCCCCCAGAGCGAGTTGCCAGTGGGAGTTGAGCGGAGAAGAGGTGGAATCCTTTATGCTGGCAGTTAAATGCAGCAAGGTTTGGCATGAGTAATGGAGGCTTATTTATTTATTCTTTTGCGTGGAGGGAGGGTTGCTTTGCCGGGTCTGTTGCGTTTGGTCACAGTGCGATTGCAGCAGAGCCATGGAGTAATTGCGGTGCTTCTTTCGCTTGTCACCTTTGCTGGGTACAAATGACTGGAGCAGCTTTCCCTGTCCAAGCAGATTTCCAGCCCCGATATCCCCCAGCCATGCCGCTGCCTCCCCGGCAAAGCAGCAATGGGGCAAAACTCATGCAGGGCTCCCTTCCCGGTGCCCCAAATCCATCCTGCGCCGTGGGGTTGGGGTGTTTTGCTCCGAATGGGGAAGTTGGAGGAACTCGTGTTGTTTTTTTTTTTTCCCCTGTGTTCCCTGTTTGTTGTGGTTTGGTTTTAACCCGTTGTGGAGCTGACAGCTCTGGGAAGGTGTTGGTGTGGGTTGTCAGAGGCAGGCAGACATCTGAACTGCTGCAAGAAGTGTTACTGCGTGGGTCCTTTGTGCCCAGAAAATGTCTTTGCTGCTTTGAAAAATGCTGATAAGCAGCCTGCAAAAAGGAGAAGGAGGAAAGAAGAAAAAGACTCAGCTCCGCAACTAGAGATGCTGAGAGAGAAGCCTCTCTGTGTTGGGGGTGAGGAGAAGGTGCCAGGTTTGGCTGGATGCACCCCTGAGCTGCTGCCAGCCCAACACCCTCCTCTCTGAGTTGAGACCAAGTGGGTGCAGGACTGGCATGATTTCCAAAATGCCACCAGAGGCTGAGACAGAACATGAGTGCAAACTTTACCCAGGAGGTCTGTGCTTCCAGGGGAGGTGGCTTGAGGCTGGTGCCTGTGGGAGCAGAGGGATGGGTTGGGTGATGGGGCTGCTTTCCAGTAAAGGAAGAGCTCCTTAGAGCTGGGTTGAACTCAGGTTCGTGTGGGGTGTGTGTGAGTGACATCGGGTCCAGCACCCTCCATGCTCAGGAGTGGTGGTCTCTGCTCCACCCTCTTTTGGCAAGCAGGAAGATGGAACACGGGGTGGTGAAACCACCCTGAGCTGAGTGAGGCCTTAGTGATGTCCAGATGAGAGGCTCCGCTTGGTAAGGGGCTGTTGGGAGAGTGCGGAGAGGGAAAGCCTCGACCATGAACACCATGAGCTGCCTTGGCACGTGCCTCCATATCCACATCAGTGCAGGGCAGTGACCCCTCTATGCCACCCCACCCCTCCCTGGCAGGTCCCAGGGAGCTTTGGATTATTTTGCATGTTTGTGATGGATTACAGAAGGGTGCCACCAAAGCAAGGAGGATGGAGGCACCCAGCCCATGGATTCCCACAGCAAGGTACCTCACACTTGGTGCTATATTGACTTTGCTGCTGCTGCTTCTGTTTTCCCACCTATCCTCCCTCTGGGGAGGGCGCAGCAGTCTCGGGGCTGGGTGGGTTTAGTTTTGGGTAGAATGTAGGGGCCTGGCAGACATCTCATGGCTTTGGGATCCATAGGGCCATGGGGCAGAGCAAGTGGATCCAGATCCAGGCAGGGACAGGTTAACAGCAAAGCATGAGATGAAAATGGAGGAGGCTGGTTGGCTGCCGTCCCCTGCCCTTTCCCAGCGAGCCCAGGAATGTCTGATTTTTAGACTGCATCCCCAGTGATGTGGCTCTGGATGCAGAGGGTCCCACCCAGCCGAGAGCTTGACATACAGCCCAGCTGCAGACCTCCCATCCGGCCTCACGCTGCTGCTTCCAGATCCAGGCAGAACAAGACCTGCGGGGCTGTGCTTATGCCATGCAGCGTGCAGCCAGGGTGCTTCCCCCCTTCGGCTCCCCACCTGTCAGGATTTGGGGATGCTGGGCTCGCCTGTGCTGCCTCGTGCCAGGAGTTACCCTGCTGGCAGTGTGGGCAGTGCCTGCACGCTCCTGCACGGTGCATGGGGAAGGGTGGATGGAGGAGTTTGCCATCTGGGCCTCCCTACTCCTCAGCTGTTGCTATGGCACTGCGGAGATGCTGCCAGGAAGGTGGCGGTGGTGGCCTGCGTTTGTCACCTCTGGCTCTTTTTTAGGCAGGGAGAGGTGCCCAGGTCTGCCTCGCTCCCTGATGCAACCTCTCTGGGGAGGATGGAGTTTCTTAGGGTAAAATATACCCTGCAAATCCACCCATTTGGGATATCTGTGCATCCAAGAGGAGATGGATCATCACAGAGCACCAATGGATGTGGGATTTGGGGGTCCGTTTGCTCACGCACCCAAAGGCGAGCACCTCACTTAGGGTTCTCCCTCTGGGGACAAGAAGAACAGCCCATGGCAGTGTCTGCTGCATCCCATGGGCACAGCTGGGAATGGGAAAACTGCATCAGAGCTGTGTGGGGTGAGAGCTGGGAGCCAGCACCAGAGGTACCCACGTATTCACGCATCCCCCTGGGAGCAGCACAACTTGCTTTGGTGACCCAAACAGGGCTCAAGTTGGGGATTGCTCTGCTTCAGTCCTGCTGTGCTCCATGTGATGCTGCTCTCTGGAGACAAAAGGCTCTGTGTCCCCAAAGCATCCCGTCCCATTGTTCTTCCCACCTCCTGGTCCCTGAGGTTTTGGCTGCTGCAGGATCTATTCAAAAGGGCCCTAATTCAACGCAGCTTTGTTTTGCACAGCCCTTGTTTATGCAGAATGGCTGCCCCAAAGTGAAATCCCTGCGGGGGAGGGAAGCACAGCACCAGGCTCGGAGGATGGAAGAAGGTTCAGAGACGCTTGGGATGAGGAGGAGGGCTGGCATGGTCCTGTTGTCCTGGAGATGCCTTAAGCTGAGAGCAGTCATCCTGACTGCCAGGGTGCTGTGGGATCAGGTCTGTGGCAGGTGTTGCTCTATTTTTTTTGGAGCATTTGAACTTGTGTTGGTGCTTGGGCTTGTTGGGTCTGTGCCCTGCCCTGATGACCTTTCTGCTGGAACAGTCTTGGATGGATACATTTCCCTGGCACAGACAACGTCTGGGACCTGCTGTACTTTTGCAGCCTGTCAGGCTCTGTGCAGGGGTGGAGCAGAAGGATTTGGGACAGATGTGGTGTTGGGAGAAGTTGGCCATCAGGGCCAGTGCTCAGCTCGCCTTTCTCAGCCATGGCCAAACCACGTCAGAGCAGAGAACATCAGGCACCAAGAGCTGTACCCCTGGTCTGTACCCTGGGGCACGGGATTTCTGCTGGGCTCAGTTCTTGCCAGTCTGTAGGTCTCTGCCCTGCACAACCCACCTGAGGGTTTCTCCAGGGTGGAGGCAGTTTTGTGCTGCTCAGACACCCCAGGACTTTCTTGCTGAGCTCAGCCTGGGGCCTGGTCATGAGGTGACACAGCTAGGTTTCAGGGTGCATGGGACATCTTCCCAGCCCTCACCTCCTATTGGGTTTGGGGAGCTCTGTGCCAGCTCTGCCTGCTGGCTCCTCTCCCTGCACTGGGAGGATGCTCCAGGGCTAGGACAGGCATTTCACAGGGGAAGAACTAGAGATCGGGGGAAAGAGACTGAGGGCTGACCTGTTTGCTATTCTTTGGGGCTTAGAGATGTTTTAAATGTGGCTTTTTCTATGCACCCCTCCCCAGCAAACCATTACTGGGTGTCCTTTGGGATCCCCAGAGGTTGCACTCAGCGATGCTCCCCAGCACTCCGCCTTCTGCACCTGCTGCTAGGGGGTGCCTGCTGATTCATTCTGCTTGGATTTGGTGCATCCCATCAAGTGGGGTGTGAACCAACTCCTGATCCCACCAGGCTTTCAACAGTGAGCATTAATAATGCTTGCAGCTCACCTGTTCAGCATGTTATTTATGGGGCATAGCAGTGAAATAGCAGTAATTTTGAGCTTTGGGCTTCCTGTGGCGGGGGCTTCGATAGGTTGCACGGATGCTTTCAAAGCAGCTGTTTGACAGCAGCTTCCACAAATGCTCTCCTGCATCAAAGGGTGCACAACCGAATCCTTTGCATGC